CTTCTTAGATCTTAAAATCTCACACAATAATAACAAGTTCAACTTTGACATCTATAGAAAGCCAACACATACAGGCACAGTTATAGACAATACCTCTAACCATCCAGCAACACATAAATTGGCTGCCTTTAATTGCTACTTAGAGAGGCTATTAAACATCCCTCTGTCTACGGAAAACTTTAATAAGGAACTAAATATAATTAAAACTATTGCTATAGATCACAACTTTGAACTGGATATTATTGATAAAATGCTAACACATAAACAAAATAAAATTCAACAAAACTTGGTTTATATTAATAATCCTAATTTGGTACATGAACTAACCACCAGTAAGAAATACATTTCTCTTACCTTTATTGGAAAAGCATCCTATAAAGTGGCAAGCTTACTTAAAGACCACTTTAAAGTATCTTTCAAAACCCCCTCCTCATTACATAAGTTATTTGTTCATAATAAAGATAAATTAGATCCCTTTGACTTGTCTGGAATTTATAAATTGACTTGTAAATCTTGCCATTCTTTCTATGTGGGACGCACATTTCGAAATTTCAAGATCCGTTTAAAAGAACATTTGCGTTGTCTTAACCAAAATACAACAGGATTTTTACATTTTGCCAACCACCTACTGGACTCAAATCACGACTTCGATTCAACTGAAGGTTTCGAAATCCTACATAGTTCCTACCATAGATTTACTCTTAATAGCTTCGAAAGCCTCGAGATATTGAGAAATTTAAAATTAAATCCTGTTGGTTGCTTAAATGCCCAGATAATGTCAGAAACTCCTCCAGTTTTCTCAACACTAATCTAAATTTATCGTTCTAACTTCCTTTTTAACCTCCCCCTTTATTTCTATTCACATATTTCCTTGCAAGGGGTACATTTCAGTAAGTAATTTTTTTCCCACAAAAAACCAACGTGCATGTTTAAGGACTAGGTTAAGTTGTGCGTTTTCACATCTGTCATTTTCTTCTTCTTTTATTTTTCAGTTGCTTCACAACAGTTAACCCAGTCATCTCTTCTTCTTTCTTATTTTATCCTACAACATCACATACACTTGGTGATTGGTTCATGGCCCAAATCTTATATAATAAATAATAAATATTTCTTCACTCATAGTTTACATCTTATTACCTATACCCTGTCATAAGTTTATCCAAGAATTTTTTCTTTAGTACTTACCACCACCTGTAGAGGCCTTAACTTGACAGGTCTCCTTTCAAAAATGTTAGATTTTTATAAAAAACAGCAATGTTTGCTTAAAACAGGCCTTATCTTTTAATCTGTTTAATGTATGTAATTTGTTTTTGTATCGTCTTGAATATTTTAAAATTTTTAACTGTTTTATCGACTAATATTTGTTTTTCAAATATTTTTAACTTTATAACTTGTAACATTGTTTTGTTTTACAATTTATTTCATCCCCCACGTTTTGATGAAACTGGTTTGTAGTATTCCCTAGTGGATGGAGAGTATGGTGAGTTTTTTCTATTTTTTACTATTTTATATATTGTGGGCTCAAAGTCAACACACCTTACACCACATATTCTCCTTTCCACTAGGCGAGCCTGAAGATGAAGTGATGTTACTTCGAAACCGGTCGCACTCAATGTTTTGTTGAATAATTAAACATTGGACTTTCCTTGTGAGATATAAAGGACTTTTTCTCCCCCCTTCACCTTAAAAAAAAAGTTAATGAATTAGTCAGACATCTGGCGCTTTGGCCTCCACCTGAATTTATTGCTAACATGACGCAGGTAGATTACTGACGTGTTCCTGAAATTATAAGATACTCTTATCACCATAATATAATTAAATAGTTATTTTATGTTTTTTATTTTTTTATTTGTGTCAAATTTATGTTTAACAATAGTATATTATTAAACGAGCAATTTATGGTAGTCATTATTCACCCGAGTGAAAAATGGCCATAAATTGCGAGTGTAATGCTATAATTTGTTCACAATCATTATGATTTCTTTATTAAATAAAAGTTAAGTGTAGAACGGAAAATCTTTATTAAATATAGATATCTAACTGTTGTTATTTAACAAAGGAATGCTAAAACTTACAAGATAACAGCATAAATAACTAGGTATTTATCATTACTTATTTACATTAATAGTTACGTTAATAACGGAACAATTTTCGAATTTTCTTGAAGGCCACGATTTAAAAACAAAATCATTAGATGAATTTTGAATATTTTCAAAAACCTGGTTTGACATTGAGACACTGTTCATAGAATTAATCAGTTTTTCGAAAATGGTCATTTTATTATTAATTGAATCGTCGATGTAGCTTTCAGCGACAGCTGTACTTTTCCAGCCACCGCGTCTTTTTAATGCAGTAATATCTCCACCTGCGTCTATAAGAAACGTAGCAGATGAACGTCGAAAACTGTGGCCTGAATACTTTTCCGGATTTGGTATTTTTAAAAAAGTCGCTATTCCTCTCCCCATGGTAGTAAACTTATTGATTCCTATTCTCTGAGAAGTACATTTTCCATTATGATATTTTAAAAAATATATATTTAATTTAGAAACCGGGAACGTTTTTAAAGATATTTTTTACAAATCGGATAGAACTTATCTGTAACCATGAATTTTTGTAAACAAACTGCTCCAAGGTCCCTGACATCTTCGATTTTCATTTCATTCGCCCGACAAGCACCCATAATTCCCATGTTTAATGCTCTCCCTAAAAAATAGTTTTTTTTTTTAATTAAGCAGCTTCTTATAAAACTTGATGTTTTCTGAAAATTTCAATTTGATATCAATTTTCGTTTTGGGTTAGGAAGTCTTTTTTTATTTTAACCCCCCTTAACCCTGCGAATTCATTTAGAATTTTTTAGAATCAATAGGCTTTATCTCCTTATAGAGCTTCGTTTTTACAAAAAAAAATCATGTTGATATCGCTTTTCGTTTTTAATTAATCCTTTCATATTTAATAAGACTTTTTTTAAATTAATAGGCTTTGTCCCCTTATAGGTTTTCCAGAAATTTTCAAGTTGACATCATTTTTTGTTTTTGACTTATTGTGAAGACAAAAAATGAGACAGACGAATGGTGCACCAAAAAAATAGAGATTAAAAAAATTTTTATTTTTAGGTTATTTATATCATTTTAAAATAATGTATATTTATGAAATTTAACTGTACAAATGTACCAATGAAGAGAACGCTCCTGCTCCTAATATTCTCTTTCGGTACGCTTAAATATAGATACCTAGTTGTTTTACCTTTACCATTCTTTGGCCACTGTGACTAATGTTAGTCACATTTTAAAAAATTGTCGATAACAATCTTATGTCTTAATATAAGTATTATTTCTTGATAATAGCTTTTTAAAGTTGGTCTATTATTTTTTATCTCCTAGGTATATATGAATTAAAAAAAAAAAGACAAATTAAGTGTTCACGAATCTACTTGACCCTGATATTCCTAATAACAGTTATAACATGAAATTTATTCGTTCTTTTTTAGAATGATAAACAATAATGGTTTTACGAGTGACATTATGAATATCTTGCGTCATTTATGAGCAAGTAGAGGAAGATAGGCAGTGAGAGAGTTGCTACAAAAACTTTTTCCCATTTCCAACCAAAGTCCATTCGAGTTTTGAAACCTCTCCCTTACACAGAAAAAACTTGGGAGTCGTACATATACCGGCGAGAAAAGAACGAGAAAAACCTAAATAGAATAGAGTCAGGCTTAATCTAAAAACTCCCTCCATTAAGAAGATTTATATTCAAAAGAATATTAAATGAATTGTGTGCATATGAGTTGGAATGGGACAAGTTTTTTAGCCTCAACCATCAGCGACACTTTTACGAGGCCATTTTTCAAGATTATCATATTTTCGCGATTTTGAATATCGAATATTACAGGAAATATGCATTAAGCTAAAGTGTTCGATGGAATATATGTTAAATTAGAGGCGTTATAAATATTCTATAAATCGCTAGCTAGAAGTCACATCCGCATAATTTGGAATTTAATTTCAGTTCACACAACCGTTCGTTCGACCTAGATGCCATGCCAAATATAAGAAACCAAAAAGTGTTTGCGTACGATTGTTTTATTTTATTAGAAAAATTAATGGAGAAATTGATATTTTATACTGGCCGTTTCTTTTATCATCAGCCAATATTGCCATTTTTAACCATATTTTGTAATATTGAAATTAAATGTAACATGTTAGATTTATTGATTGATATTCAGTTTCCGCCTTTCTGGTCTCAAAATAATTGGGGTGTGGGTTCGTGGCTGGATACTGGCCAGGTTCATAGCAACATTAAATTATCAGTAACCCACGCAACAAAATAAGAAAATAGGAAGTAATTACACAGGCTAGCTCAAATAAAAATAAACACTTTACTATTTCAGCTCAATATATTTTCTTTAGGTGTTTAGGTTTACGTGTGTATAAGAAATGATAGATAAAAGGATAGAATACAATAAAAGCAACAATACCGAACAAGCAGTGGCGTACTAATATAAATCAAACGTGGAGTTATGCAATTAAAACAAAAGCTGCTAAATAAACCAAGGCATATCGACACAGAGTTGTGAACACTGTTGTTAAGTATAAATATACAATGAAAGAAATGCGGTCTAATCAATACCAGAATTCTCGTACTCTTTATTTAACTGTTGTATACTATACGGAACAGCCAAACGAACTGTTGCTGATATGAAACAAGAATTTATTATTTCTTTACACAGCTTCTGCCTCATGTCATTGTGCAGTAAGACTATTTTTCCATCTACTGACCTTTTTAAAATAGCTTCTAAACCCTAAAAAAACAATATTCACTAATACTACAATATATCGAACTGTTAGTGTTAATTATCATCCACAGTTTCACTTCAGCAGTTCAGAAATATCTGGTTAGCCACTTATCATTTTGCTTTTCACTTGTATTTTCAATTTTAAATACTTGTAGAAAGATAATTAAAAAGCATAAACATTCATTTAATTAATACTTTTGCAGTTTCACCTTTGTAGGTCTTTTACTGATATACTTTCAAAGTTTGAATTTTTCAAGCAGCTGATTGCAATTGTAACAAACGTAAAACTACAAATTAATGAACTTAGGTTACCTCTGGAAAAGCTGAATTCAGTTTTATTTTGTTTCTGGGTTGCTCCTCTGGAACCTGTATAGGCAGCAGAGAACACTGTCCAAAGCTGCAAGCTACTTAATGATGCTGGTTGTGTAGATTCATTAAACAGGTTTTCCAATTCTGTTTCGATTTCAATATTGTCTTCCATTGTTGCATTTGAACTTACTGAAAATTCTGAGTTTGTTGAAACTGATGGAAGTTCATCCACAATAATTGGAAATTGTTTTTCTTGTTCCTTATGTTCTTGAATCTGTTTCAATATCTTTAGACGTGGCCCAATTGGTGGAATTATTTCCTTAATGTTATCCTCAGTTAGGAGGAATAGCGAATCTTCACTAATTCCTTGTTCTAAAATTATTACAAGTTTAATACTTAGCTATTTCACAAAAATTTAATACAGTGACTATCAAATAGTTAAAATTTCTTGTAATTTTCTAAGATATTCTAGATAGGTAATCGTTTGCTTTAAGAATGTCATGAATATTTTAAAAGAATTTCTGTTTTGTATATTAAATTTAAATAAGTACATATTGATGAAAGATAATTCTTTGGACTTTTCATGTTCTAATTTTATTGTCAAAATATTATGACCTAATATACAAACGTTTATATTGGCAGCAACCAATAATATTAAATGATGACTTTTTATTATGCATGTAATTAAAAATACCATATTATCAGTGGATAGCAAATAAAAAAAAATATTGAGGCAGTAATTTCTTAAACTGATGTCACCAATTTCTAATGAGACAAAATAAAAAGTTTTTATTTCACTATTTAAAAGACACACTGTATATTTTCATTGGCGTAGAAGAAAATGGAATAACATAAAAACTTTCTGTTTTAGCTCAGAAAGTGGTGACGTCAGTGTAAAGAACCGCTGTCTCAATAATAGTCAATTATTACACAGGGTGAATTACCTTGGACGATGGACGTCTCGATACAATAACTTTATCACGGTGCATTCTGTGAATATTTTGCATGAATACTTTGATCTTCAAAAAAAGCTATAATTTAAAATTAGTTTCAATTGTAGAGGTTGTCCTATAAAAAAATTACGTTTCAAAGATAATTTTTAAATGGAACATTTTGTATTTTATAGTAATTTTCGATTCTTTATTCAAAAATAGTGTAAGTTTGTTCAGAAATCTTCATCTTTTTTGGTTTGTATATATGTATGGGTTTAAAGGGCGCATGCGCATTCCTAATTAGACCAAGACAAGTACAATCTTGTATGTGAACTGAATATCAGTAAGCAATTAAAACCTTAATAACCGAAACATGAAAACAAAAAAAAAACAAAATTAATCTAATTACAACAAATTATCTAGAATAAGACAGAGTTACAACAACTTTGTAGCCCAAAATTAAATTAAAAATTCAAAAAATCAGAAGCCAAAAGGCGAGACTGTCCTACTGGTATCGAACCAAATCATTACGAAAATTAAAGATTACATTCATGTACATAGGTACTAATAAAAATTGTGTATATACCTTTAAATACTAGAATCAAGGAGGTTAATCCCCAAGTTTCTAAATAAGCTTCCATGTTACACATGATCACAAGAAATGAAAACACAAGCCCAGATACCTAATTAAAACTAACCTTAAACTAACACACGTGCACATACAAAGTTAAGACAAAAGACTGCAAATTGCAAATAGGTTAGTGGCGTAGCGGGTCCCCCACCAACAAAAATCTGTATGTTTCTGGTAATGACAACAGAAAGGGTGTTATGGAATATAAAACGGGATCACTGAGATTATAATGCGTTTTAGAGCAATAATAGATATAAGATTGTATAAAACTGAATCTGCTGGTTATGTCATTCAGTCGGCGCTATAAGAATTTTTGTTTTCGAGTATACTACCGTGGTAATGAAATAAAAAATGTAGAGAATAATTGACTGATTTACTATAGTAGTAAGATATAGCTGAATCTCTATCAATATTCCTATAAGTATTATGATACTTAGTCTGGCAAAACCGCTGCATTAATATATTTCTTTCTGTGTATATTATGAATTCAAGTAATTATTAGATGCTGTATCTTGTATCGTATATCCTATATTACTTTTGCTTCTAGATGAATAATGCAAAAACTAGGAAAGGTCTTACTTGATTATCCTTTTTCTATGTTACCACAACCAAATGTTTATCTGTAGGCATGTTTTATCGGAGCTTGGGTACTTCTTACCACTGCAGATACAGCAATTGACCATGCAATCATGCAATTATGCCATCAATGTCCCTAAGGTTGGCAAGTAGCAAGAGAAGTAAACTAAAAATAGAGATTACAATAAAATAAGGAAGAATTGAGTATAGGAGGATGAGAAGATAAGAAAAGGCATAAAAGCAAGAAAATGGTAGATATTTTAATAAAGTTTAGTCTAATGACTTAATTAGATATGTTAATTACTCATTACGGTTCTAATAGGGCCTCATTGTGTATTTTAATAAAGTTTGTGATTTCTTTGATTAGCAACGAATCGACAATTTGCTAATTTATTATTTCCTTGAGAAACTTGTTTAAAATTATATTAAAATATTCTTTATTTATTTCAGAAGCTGCTGCAGATGAAGAATGGCAGGACACTAGTATACAAAAAAAATAAAATATAGTATATTGTATCCTTCTGATTATTAATATTATTGATAAAATGGTGACTTTTTATTTAATAAATTAAAATGAATTTACACACTTAACATCTTATAAACATAACTGTTTCATTAGTTAATGGACCTTTTAATTTTCGTTATGAAATCGGCTACTAATAATTGAAAAAAGATGGAACCTAGGAAAAAGTATTGCTCTAACCTTCGACGGTAACTAAAAGAATAACAGGAATACCATTTACAATTTTATTCTAATCACTGTACATGTGAGTCGCTTGATCAAAATAAACAAAATAATTTATCTTTACCTATTTACTTGGAGTATTTGGTAAATCAAGAAGGACGTTATCACTATTCCAGGTATAGTGTTGTTATTCCAAGGAAAACGTTATCGGTACTTCAAAAGAGCATGTCATCAGCATTCTAGGTAAAATATTCATAATCCGTGAAAATAGTTAAAAAATATCCTTATTAGTATTCCAGGTAAAGTATTGAGACTGCAGAGAAAAACAATATCTGTAGAGGAGAACCGCTATGAAGTGGAGGACACTATTAAAAATAAATAAATTAAGTTTTTATAAGACAATGAAATTATTTAAACCTGCATAAGTAAAAAGCTCTATTAATATTCTTGTAAAGTATACTATTAAAAAAGAATATGGTCTGAGTAATATTTATATTTGGAAAAAGTTGCTTCTGTCCATTTCAAAACATCGATGCATTGAAACGGACAGTGGTGGTTTTGGAAAGAACAGTAGTGGTTTTGAAAATAAAATTCGCATTAAAATACATTAATTCCTTCAAAAATATATTAGGAACAGTTATTAAAATAAAAATTTCGGATATCCTGAATACCACAAGTTTCATGTGCCCATAAAGAGCATATAAAACACTTCAACTAGTCTGTTTTGGTACAATGACATACTTCCTTGCAATAAACACAATTATCTTTGTTTACCGCGTTATTGTCGTCTTTGGTGTTGGGATCTTTATTTTCCTTGGGCATAAGTTGGTTTTGTTTATTGTTGGGTTTTAATTCTGGAATTCTGAAATATTAACTTAGAGGAACTTCATCATTACACTGCTCACTATCATCAGGATTCTTTCCATGACAGTAGTCTTGTAATGGCAAATCACTCTTTATTGAGGGTTTTTATTTCGTTTTTTTTTTTAGCCGCTGATACTTTTTGATTTAACTTTCTCTTTGTTGCTGCTTCTTTTTCTTTTAAAAGTTTTACTTTTTCTGGTGTCTCAGTAATAACTGTCGTTTTCCCCTTACGATGACCTCGCTGGATATTTGTTTTTGGAGGTGCCCTAGGATATGGACTTAGTTGCTCGGGAGTTATAAAGATTTTCGAAGAGGACGGCTGTAAAGTATCTTCTCCTAATAATTGTGGGGTTGAACCTGTAGCGGTAGATGTTGGTGGCTGAGCAACAGCTTTGACGCCCTGTAAAGTGCTTGTATCCGGCCGATCTGATACTAATGAAGACAAGGAATCGTCTTCAGAAAAGATATTTTTGTCAAATGGGTGTATTCCGGTTGCCAAAAATGCCTTTAATATATTTTCCGGTGCAAATGCATAAAGAATAGCCTCGTTAGCAAATGAAGTCAATTTATAAATAGTTACGGTTTTTCCTGGGTTTGACCACATCCAAGAATTTATTGTCGTTCTATATCTGGTTTTTAAGGGTCCATATACACAAACATCTAAAGGTTGTAGTCGATGACTACAATGTGGAGAAAATGTAAAAACAATTATCTGATTTTCCCATGCTAACATGACAACTTCAATGTAATATACGTTTTATGGTCACGTTATCCATCAAAATCAGGTATGGGTCATCTGCAGTTGGTTTTAAAAATTTTATGAAGTGTTTTAATACATCTAAAAATCCTTTCTCCGTCATCCAACCACTAGGATTTGCATCTGCTTTTGTGCAAGTAGGTCCTTTTTTCAACATAATTTCTTTAAATTGCGCTCTAGATAAAACAAAAAGTGAAGGGGTTGTTCCACCTGATGCATTTATAAATCCATTCATTGTACCTAAATTATCACTTTTGGCTGAGGTCACTTGGCCGACTTGTTTTAAAACACTTGTTGCTAAAACTTTTGGAGGATTTGTGACTGTGAGACAGCTGGTTTCGTCTAAATTCCACATTATATGAGGCTTAAACGTAGGGTTTTCCAGAACTCTCTGCAAGTTGTTATAAAAATTATTGACATTTGTTTAATTGAAAGAAGTTGCTCTAGAAAGCCAAAGTGTTTTCTAGTTTTCTGAAACTTAATGTCGCATTTCTTCTGTTAAAACCACGCAGCCAGTTTTTTTATACCATCTCCTTTTTTTATTCCAAGATGTTGGTAAAATTCTATGCACCTTAGCGTACAGATAGGCCAGATCCTTGACACGGTTGTAAGACCATAACACATCTTTGAGGATGTTTTAAGATAATCAGCTAATATTTTTTTTTATCAAGGGAGAAAATACGTTTGTTACTTATTTTAGGTCAATGAGTTTTAGCTTTCTTATAAAAAGAAGCTGTGTAAGAGCTAAAGCCTTAAAACGGAAACAGAGTATTGAAACGGACGTCCGTTTCAATGCAACATCTTATGTCCACTTTTAAACAACACCCAATTAACCTCAAAATGACGACACAAAACATAAATAGAGAAATATTTTACAAGATCTATCGCTACATTAATGTAGCACAGTAACTTAGTTTAAAACTTAATAATCTAAATTTTACCAAATACTACCTGTGACATAGTTCGATATTTTCATAAATAATTTACCAATTAAACGAATAACAATAAAATGCTTGCCGTTGACACGCAATCAACTGGTTCAGTCGTAGTGGCATTTAGGCACGAAGTTGCAAAATGTAACTCGAAAATTTCAAATCATACAATCACATAGGAATAACAGCAACTGTCCGTTTCCGTTTCAATTTAAGAGTCCTATCATATTTCTATCTTTTCCTTTTTGGATTATAAGTAGGTAGGTTTAGATTTTGCTCAGAATACTGTGGTCACCTATTCACCAAACGAATTTAGTAACAATAGACCAATAGCACTACTAAACTGTATTTGACAAGTATTTGAATTTATTTTATACGATAAATTATATACTTCTGGTCAAAATATGCTATATGTGGAGAAATATAAGCTTTGCAAGATGAAACAATTGAAACAAATCTGATAGTTTTTATTGATTATGTTAGTAGTGTGACAAGTAACAAAAGTGCGGTGGAAGATTTTACTAAAGTGTATGAAAAAGAAAATAATGATCTACTTCCAAAAAACTAGTATCCTTTACTTCATTTATACTTTTTTACGCGTTATTTAAGAGAAATATGGCAATATATTTTAAGTAAAGGAAAATATCGATGGATAATTTGGTTGAGTCCAAGACACCTACCTCAAACATCTTAATGATTACTTTCAACTGCAGAACGATATTGATAAGATCTTGAAAAACAAATTATATTTTAATATTGCAAGTTTCATTAAAATATTATATGCCTTTAAAATTGACTAACTACTATCCATAGACATTTTGGTTAACTTGTTACTTTCATTTTAGTGGACCCGAGTAAAATGGATAATAAGATTTCTTTTACAAAAAAAATTAAAACGATTTATATTCGCCGTTAATTTTTATCCGCAAATTTAATTACGGCATTTTCACAACTCCTAACCGCGACTGTTGCGCCCTTTTGTTTCCATTTTAACGTTCCACAAGTAAATTCTACTTTCACGGCACGCCACACTGATCTATTATACTCCCTTGTTAAAAAACGACGAATAAAGCTGGAAAGTCGAGAGAGAGTTCAAAGCGGCATTTTCCTCGTATACATGTATTTTATCTTCGAGTTCTTGTTTTTGTTGTGTACGCTAACATTTAAAATTTATTTTCGATATGAAATAATAAATCTATATAAAA